TCATGCGTTGAGTCCCACCACGTTTCAGTGATCCCCACTAGCTAGGCATCTACTGAAATCACAGTGTTGTGGATTTCACAGAAACTGCAAAATCCAGGATTGTCTGTGAAATCAACAACAACAACAACAAAAAACCCTTATTTTATTAAGTGGGAGGGGAAGGGGCTGGCTGGTGGGGCAGTATGAAGGGCAGCAGAAAAGATGGCTGCCATTCTCTTGGCTCTCCTCCCAGTCCCCCCCCTCCCCCGCCTGGGCCTCTCCACCAATTAGTGCTGAGGGGAAGGACTGCACAAAGGGCAACCAGCAGTCAAGATGGTGGCCACCCCCTCTTACCAAGCATTACTGAGGTATGGGGCTGCCGGAGCACATCTGCAAAATGTCCATGAAATTTGGTCTTTATGCTGTGGCCAACCCATGAAAATTGGTAAATCTAACCATGATTTAAGTAGACCACTAAGTACAGCAGAGCAGCATAAGGCAAAGCACAGAAGGCAATAGGATAATACAACCCAGTTTACTACAATTTACAATCCCAGCAAACTCAGCAATTTCAGTAGCTAGGAAAAAGCTGATGGGAGCTTAAGTAAAAACAATGAAAATATAAAAATATGTTACCAAAAGGAGAAAAAATTAACTGCAATAAAGTATTTTAAGATAAACCTAACACTTCAATATATGGATTAAAATGTACACACACCTGCTCATCTTTTATATTCTGTAACTTAGACTCTGTTAACACTTTTCTTTCTTTCAGCTGCTCTATATAAGACGAAGACTCAATGGTATCTGCTTTTTGAGTGCAATCATCATCTCTCTGGGAAATACTGGGTTCTGATCTCAAGTGTTCTTCCATAACATGAAGCTCTCTTTCCGTCTCTGCTAATTGATAGACAGGTTGTACTAAAGATTCTGACAAGGAATTCAGTGCTATCAGAAGCTCTTCTGGGAGGGCATTGTTCTTCTGATCACCCAAAGTATCTACAGATAGAACATCATCCTGACATTCTAGCATATCATGCAAAAGGTTTATCATTTTTGGACTTTCAGATTCACTGAGTGGTTTCAGCAAATC